GATCCCCCATGTGCCGGGGTAAACCTGTGTACCCTTTTCTTCTGCAATCAAATTCTAAGTGGGGATCCCCCCACCCCACCCAAACAAAAAAAAAAATCCTCTAAGAAACTTTGTTGTTACATGAGTGCTTGAGAAAGTTTTGGATGATTTGCATTATTTGACGGTAGATAAAAAGGTGTCAAGAGACGCTAGAAAACTTATGGGAGAAGTTTCTATGTTTAAATGTGTGACCCGATTCCATTAGTTTGAGAGGCGATAGTTGGGATAATGGATTCAATTAATACATTTTGCTTGTTATGTAATAATCTTAAAAAAGTCACCTTCTTGTAGCAAGGATAGTGCCACCTTAGTTTAAGTCATCCTAGGTGGTCCAGAATAGCCCTTCTTTATCAGATCACCTCTATGACAATTCATTCAAAATGAGCACCTCATACTGCTTTTGTTTATGCTGTACTGTTAGACTGCTACGTTCTCATTTTCATTTTTTCCTCTCATTTCAGCCCTGCCCCATTTGCTCCCAAAGGATTACAAGAGATATGCTTAACCATATCGCCATGCAACATGGTTATTTGTTCAAGGTTCACCTCTCTACCTTCCTACCTCTCTCTGCAATAACATTCTAAATAAAATTTGGAAGGCTTCTGACACCCTATTTTTATTTTCTACTTACAGAATGGTCACAGGTATCGCAGATTTATTATTCCCGAGAGAGATGCGATTTCTTTATTGAGCCGAGATCTACGTGGTACTCATTTACAGGCTCTTCTAGGGGGTGTTCATGGCCACAGATCAAATAACGCAGTGACCACAAACATTTCCAGTGATCCTCTTCTTTCATCGTTTGGCCTGAACTTCCCAACATCAGATGCACCAGAACCATCAAAATCAGCATCTTCTATTCCAGATGGTGCCTCAATACGTAAGGAGACACCAGTTCAGCCTTGGGAATCAAGGTATATATTACTCCTGATATAAGTTTGCTAGATTCTTTATGGACTATTTTTACAATTGTTTTCCATAAATTTGAAGCTATTTTATTAATTGCTTGCATGTCTGCTGAAAACAATCTCATTATGGGCCTATTGCATCTTCTGTTCTCCTTTCTACTATCCAATTACCTTGCATACATTGGTTTCTTGATATATGCTGTTACCTGAGGTTTGGAATTGCACTATGATAGTTCACACTTCCACAACCAACAAACTCTTATCTTTCAATGGAAATAATCTTTAGCCTTAAATTGAATTAATTGAGCAGGCGGTTCTTGATATTTCCAGCACCTCTGCATTAAAACTAAGTTACAAGAAGGGTACACTAAAGGCTTTGTTGTTGTTGTTGTACAAGAAGGGTACACTGACAGATAATTCGCTTTACTGTTAAAGGATTCACATTCACAGGGGCAAAGCTACAGCTTGTCATCAGGGTCCGTCGACCCCGACGGATTTGACAATTTCAATGAAAAATTAGTGCATATAGTACTAAAAGTTCCTAATGAGTAATATGACCCCACCTATTTATAGACATGACCCGATAATCATGTAATCCAGATTCGCCACTGGACATTCAAGGCATTTGAGACAAAGGATTTCACTTTGTAGATGTTTATGTTTTTTTTTACTTCTCATTTATGTATGCTGTCAAACAATGTGCTCTAGTGCTTACAAGTTTCAAGGGCACACTTCCTTATGTATGAGATACAGGAACTTCAACTTCTGTTTCCTTTTCGATGGCAGTATCGATTCATCTCTCACAAGCGAGGAAAGGGAGCAAAAGCGGAAACAAGCGACCGACAGAGCAACCTTTGTGCAAGGCCTAGTGCTGTCTACTCTATTCGGAGATTGATTGCTCAAACCGACCTAGGTTCTTGCACTTGCTAGATCGGTACTTACTCCTGCCTGGTCCACATAGTCAGATAGTGCTCCACCCGGTTTGGTGCATCTAACTCTGATGGCAGGGAAATTGGCCTCAGGAAACTTAGCCGCGTTCATCTTTGTTTCAGCGAAGTGTGCGGTTGATTCTATCATGAACAGCTTGATTTGAGCTAGCTGTTGTTGTACCTTTGTTTTTATCAATTTATCAGCCACCGCCAGCAATTTTTATCTGTAGCTCACTGGTACATTGTGTTTGTACTGACATACATAATAGCTGTAACATCTACTTACACAATGCAAGAAAGGCACTTGTTCGAGAGCAGTTGCCAAAGTGCAAATCCTTCTTGTTGTAGACCACTTCAGTATTCTCAGCTATGCTGTGCATAATGAATGGAGACACTAATGATGCGGTTGGACCGGGGTTTGTGTGGACGACAAGCTGCTGCGGAAGTTCACGTTGACTGACCCGGTCGGCGAGCATTGACCGGAGATCAAGAAGGCAGCATAGAAGTAGACGTGTAGAACAAAGACGTGAAAATGCAGCTTTCGTGAAGGCAGAACCACGCTCGTCCGGGTGAAGCCGTGAAGGTGAACTGTTTCCAGCGTCAATCAGTGAAGTCGCGACTGGTGATCGCAACGCCTTACTCCCTCCATCCCGTAAAAAAAGTCGCTATAGAATTTATGGTGATTAAATTTTCTCAAGTTTGTTTATAGAAAATACTATCAACATTTATACCTCTAAATAAATTTATCATGAAAAACATATTGAACGATTTTCATCTAATTATATTAATTATATATCATAAATACTAATATTTTGGTCAGATTTTAAAATATTTGACTTTCCAAAAAGTAAGAATGATATTCTTTATGGGAGTAGGTGTGTCGTAACCTTATTTTGATTTAATTGTATTTGGTACAAGGACGCTCTCAGGTGAAAGGGTGGGACTAACTGATGTATACGGGCAGAAGAAAACTACGGTTTTGATACCCGAAATATCTTTGTCCTATGTATATTGAGGGTGGACACAAAACCCAGTATCCGAAATCCAAATCAAAATTACCTGAACCCAACCCTGAAATGCCCAATTACATGAAATATTCGAGATTGTCAATTATCATGTAATTGGGACCTATTGATCCATGATATAATTGTTCATGTGTTTTGTTCTAAAATACCACTAAAAGCTTTTTTTTATTGCTTAAACTTCAAGTTATAGTTCTATCTCATCTGAATTTTTTGCAGTTTTACTAAAGTCAGGTAGTAAAAGAATGCCCGAACCCAAACACAAAATTTCAGATACTCGCTTTCTCAACAAAATTCAGATGTCAAATTTGGAAATGCGAATCGAACCCTAATTTTTCCAGTAACCCTGAAAAACTACGGTGTCCATCCATAAATCAAACACGGCCTCACCGACTCGGTACCTTTCCATGTCTATTTGTGACCCTAAAACAAGTCGGATACGGCCAACGACATTTTCCTTTGTATAAAAGCACGAGACGAAGACGAAGACGAGGCACATCATGCACAAGACAGGTTAGATTCAGGCCAGCAGCGCGCACATATGGATCAGGCAAGATAACATTTCCGGCAGTAGGGCCTTGCAAGTTTTTTCACTCTCTCTTCGTCACATCAAATCTTTGAACACATGCATAGAGTATTAAATGTAGATAAAAAAATAACTAATTACACAGTTTGATTGTAAATTACGAGACGAATCTTTTAAGCCTAGTTAGGCTATAATTGGACAATAATTGTCAAATACAAATGAAAGTGCTACAGTGCCAAATACTGATTCCTAACCCCAATCTAAACGAGGCATAGCTTAGGTGTACAGAATTAGTCCACCCCACAACGCTGAGACATGTGCAGGTAAGCAGAAATAGCATTCCTTTCACGGCAAAAGAGTAGGGAAGAAACCACGGCATAAATAGCACTCATGATGAAGTTTTGTACAGCCTTAACTAGAAATCTAAAGGCTACCAAAAATCTGGAGTAATGAATACGGAACTGAATCATCATCTCATTAGACTATCATCTCTACCATGAGAATTCGAGTGTACATCAAGTTAAGAAGAATCTGTGATAAATAGATTGCCTGTACAGGGAAGAGCTAGCATCTCTACTCTACGCCATAAAGCTTGTATAAACCTGCAGAGCAACCTTGATGTTTAGCTATCCATTTGAACACTACATGAATTTAATTGACAACACACAGTGAACGTACCTTAAGCCACGGAGACAACCTAGTCCTCCGGAATAACGAAGCAGCTCACTTTGAGAATTGGTCAGTTGGAATGTGTATTTAGCTGCAAGAACATAAAGCAAGTGCAAACTCTCTTAATCTGCAGTTCAGTGTGCGAGATCATCCTATTTTCAACATGGCATACAAACAGTAGCACATGCAAACATAACTCTACAAAACTAAGTGAGACAGACATCAGTGATTCTCAAGGACTATAAGCGGAGGAAAAGTGGCATCTTATATTATAATAAATCAAAAGTTTCCACACCATGACTGCATTCTAGCCTCCAAAGAAATTTGCAGAATCTTCAAAAGCATAAGATTTAATGCAAAAGCTAGCATTCCAGAGAAACAAGGTTGAACGATGGAATAAATAAGGAAAACAATGCATATTCTCAATCAGATACAAAGTGGTCCCAAATTGTTACTGAAATATCAAACAAACACAAATCTAATCAGAGGCTAGAGGATTTCATCAGAAACCAGGTGAGAACATTTCAATCCACTAAAAGATGATAACAGGCTTTGTACAGTGTACTTTTTGTGCCTCCTTTGTTTTTGTAAGTAATGACTTTGCTGTGGAGATCTCCCTCACAGTTCTTTCATTAAAAATGATAATCACCAAATACAGAAGTATTGAGATTGCCATAGCCAATACATGGGAACAGGGTTTGAAACAATCATAGAAGAATAGGATTCTCAGTCTTTGATTTCAATAAAAGTGGAGACTAATCTTTTTCTAGAAATGTTGGTTTCCAGTCATATAAATCAGCCCCAACAAATATGCAGAGTCATACCTAGTGCTCCTAAATGCATTGTTTATAGACACTGTTGTCAATAGCAAAGAGAAAATATAAGTTTAATGCATCCATAACATACCTCAAAACGCATGTGCCTTTTTGCCAGTAATGATTTGGGAAATGTGAAGTCCCCTGCTGAAAGCTTCATTGAACAGGATCCTTGTTTGCATTTCTTGAAGCCCAGGCAACCATGATAATACAGCCACAGGTGCCATAACAATTACTCCAAACAATATGTCATACAAACGTGCCACAGTAACCACAGTTTTCCAGACCATCTCAGATCTCCTCAGATATGGCTTGAATACCAGAGCAATAGATACGATTCCCCAGCCAGTTGGCAGAAAAGCCAAAAGACTAGTAAAAGTATCAACAAACTGAAACTTTGTGAATTCTAACAGCACAACAATAGCAGCCACTGTGCCCCCAACAATGATTGCCTGGACAAGACGATACCGTATGTGCTTCTTTGCCGAATATCTGTCTCGAAAGTAAGCCACTGTCACAAGAGCCACAAAAGCTAGGAGGATGCATGCCCATGAAAGAAGGTAGACAAGGATGCTTCTACTCTGACCAGCAATGTGAAGCCGATAAACAATTGCATACTGAAAGAAGAAAAATCGAAGGTCTAATAAGATTTCCAAGATGCAGCCCCATAGACCCGTCGTCCGGAGATGATCAGTTTCATCCTCCCACCACGTCTCCCAGCTTTGATCTGACTGAACTGAGATCCCACCCCGGAACCAGATCCAGTTTAGAAAGTCCTCAAAGTCATTAAAATTCTTCAGCCAGTCAAAACCAGAGGGATTAAAAATGAAGGGAGCAAGAATCCATGACGACACAAGAAACCAACTTGAAAGTGTCAGCAGAATATACACCAGTGTATTCCCAGATGCACTGCCATAAGCTGCATAAAGAGTTAATATCACACCAAGTTCTATAGCTTTGATGAAATGGCTGCGAGCATAGAGCCTATAGTTTTCAGCAAACTTCTTATGCTCTACAACAAAGCCTCTGCCAGTGGCCCGATACTTCGCTCCTCCGTGAAGGATCGTCCTCCCATAATAGTGTGTCTTTGTTCCCATGGAGAATGTGTAGAAAACAGATGCAAACTGTAGCTGCATTTTCATGAAATCCCACACAGCAGTGAGGAACCCGTGCTCAAGTGAGTTTTCAATAATCATGGGTAAAGCTGTGAACAGGCCTAGCTGTATGACAAACTGCTGATTGAGGACAGCTCCCAGGGCTGCATTATTAGAAGAGGAAGTGTTCTTGCTGATATAGTCCTCAAGCCCACTGAGTGCAAGGTAAAAGCGCCCCCATACAAATGCATAGACAGTTAGCACAACCATCATTGTATTGAAATAGAATCCAACAGTTGTATAGAAGAAAGAGAGCATCCGGAAGAAATCCAATCGGTGGCCCAACCTGTAAACATCTCGGCTCAAAGTTTGTTCACCATTGCCACTAGCAACCTTGGCTTCAAACATAGAGACCTGGTTGAGCCCCACATCTCTACCTTTACCAACCTGGATATACTCATGGTGTGTAACATTACCGCCACGGAGGGTACAGTTGAAACCAGCAAATATATCCTCACTAATGTTGATTGTTTTTGATGCTTTACTGATACCACCTCGGCCCAAAAACCAAAGACGATCAAAAACATCTGGGTGCCCATAATGCATTCTGACTTTAAGTGGATTAGCCAGAACACGCTGCCCCAGAGTGACAAAACTTGTCTCCTGGGCAGACATGAACCAAGCAAGAGAAGAAACTGAGCCCGTGAAGACATGTTCCCGAACCCCAAGAATTTTAGGCTTGCGAATTCCATAATAACGATTGAACTCTTCTAGCAGGTTTCTCATCTTTAGAGCTTCTTCAAAGTAGTTGTCTTGGTTCATATCAATCGTTTGAACTGCATCGCCCCTTGTGAAGATGAGTGCATGATTCTGATTTTCTGGCTTTCCTTCGCCAATCTTCTTGAACTCTCCAGGCAACTTAACCCGATAGATTTCAACCTCCCTCTGCAGTTGCTGATCATACTTCACGAGAACAGAGAAGAACTCTTTTTCGTTGCCATTGACCTGCCTTTCATCAACATAGGCAACACGTAATGCTTCATAATTTTTCATTAGCTCCAGTATTTCAAAAGCATTGGGGTCATTCTTAGCTTTCTGCTCTCCATATAGCTGGCATGCAACTACATATGTGTATTTCATGAGGACAGTCCCATACTCGCTTCCTTTAAACAAGGAGCTCACACTACTGCTTGCTCTGCTCAATGCACGAGAGGAAGATGCCCTGCTGTAATACCCTGACCCACCAGCAACCCCATCATGCCTTGAGGATCCAATTCTTGAGGAACCCATAGTAGCTAACTCCCTTGTCCCAGTCTTTAAGTCATGTTCAGAGGCAGAATCCAGAAAAGTCAGCATTTTGAGAGCTTCATAATTGTACATCATTCCCCTCACCGTACGTGATAACGTCTGTCCCCTGTACGAGACCCAGTGCCGAAGATCCCTTAGTCTTTCCTTCTCACTGTACAGCTCGTTAATATCAGACATCCCCTCACGTTTCATTCGCTCTACAAAGTACTCCCACTCATCTGGGTAAATCTGTTTTAGATAGTATAATATTGAGATGCCATCTTCATTCTCTTTATAGAGTTGGTCCTTGCTGTACAACACCTCCTCCTTATAATAAGGCGTCAAGACACTGAAAGCCATCATCTTCTCAACCTGGGTTGCCCTTGGTATGTTCATAAACAATGAATTGCTGAAAAAGGCAATCCTCCGACGAGCTTCAAGGTTCTGTGGGACATTGATCATAGAGTCCCTGGAGGTCAGGATGGTGTGCATGCGCCTCACTTGCTTATAGAAGGTAGCATTCTCCTCTTCAGGAAGCACAACTGCATCCACAAAGAGAAGCCTGGTGGGCCTTGATTGTGCAAGACCTTCATTTCTCAACTGTTCCATGCTCCTCTTCTCAGCCTGGAAATCACGAACGACAACATCATAGAGAGTCTGCAAGGCATTAACTATCTTGGTAACATCTTTGGTGGGCTTGAGAAGGAGGCCCAATAGAGCAACAAGCCTTGTATGGATATTATGCAGCTCAGTCATCTTATAGCCCACAGTGAACTTCTCCATCTTCATGGATCCATCAAAATCACTGAACAATTGTGTAACAATGCCATGCTCCTCAGTCCCCTCCTTGATGATCTCAAGAAGCAAGTGCTTTGCACTATCATAGACCTCAATCACAGCACAACGACGATACTCGTTCTTGCATATCTTCCTCCATAGCCTGCGATCAGGTCCTCTAACCTCTTTTGCCTGACCAAGTGCAAGGGACAGCTCATTACAGAGCAAGAAACAAGGCCAACGGATTACACGCACATTCCACAGCTCAGGCGGCAGCTCAAGAAGCTCAACCTCACGATCACTAACAATGTCTTCCTCCCGGAACTTGCTTATTATCTCATTCCAAACGAGCGCAAACCGCCGTGCCTCCACCTGATTTGACTCGATCTTCCGAAAGGATCGGCTGAAACCGTACCTTAGCTGCAATCGCTGCCAGAAATTGCGAAGACGGCTGGGCAAGAAGCTCTCATTCACCTGCTGCTCCTCTGGCATGATGTTGAATGACATGGCACTTGCAAAGAACTGGAACCGAAGTCGCAGCTGTTTCATGTCCCTGATCTCCCCCAAATGTGCAAAAAGCCCCACAAATGCACCCGTCAGAGAAGAAAAGATAGCATACCAAATCTGGATATCCATGAGGTAGATCAACACCACTGGTAACCAGAGCACAAACACCGCAAAACGATTGCTTCGGCCAAAGAACTCATGCCAAGTATACTGGATTCCACTCAGCTTGTATATCTCTTTTGTGGGTTTTACAAGTGGCCTGACTTGGAGAAAATAGCTGAAGGCAAACTTCACGGCAAGCAAAAGCACCCAGAAGATGGAGTACTTGACATTGTCAAAGGTGCCCTCACGTAGTCCTCGGCCAACAAAGCTGCGGCTCTGGAACCACCAGGTGAGGGCATAACAGATCTTCCAATTTGTCTTCTCCAAAGCGTTTCGCACCCAGGGCACAATGAAGAGCACGATAGCAAGGACCTCAGGGATAACAAACGCTGCAGCTGCATAGAGGAAGCTCATGATCCGTGAATCAGCTGCTGACGACCACTGCCCATTGCTTGACCTCTGGTTCCAGATCCTCTTGTATAGGACAGCAAACGCAAGGACCCATGCGGCTGCAACAATGGCCTTGAGCACCATGCGCACAGCAAGCGTGCGACCATCCCTGAATGCGCGGCGGAACTGCGTGCCGATGTCCAGAAGGGACTGGAGGAACCGGAGCGCAGCCCAGGTGATGAAAATGGAGAGCACGCGCGCCTGTGTGTCCTTGGACTTTGAGCCCCGGGATGAGCGCAGATCATCCCACGGCCACTTCGCGCCCTCCCACGCCACGATCGCGGCAGCTTGCAGGTAGAGAATCAGCATCACCCACAGCCTGTCGAAGCTCCGGTAAATGTTCCAGAACGAGCGGACCTCGACGAAGCCCGTCTTGCGTACGCGGCTGCGGTCCGGCGGTGTGCGGAAGAACTGGCGCGACTGCTCCATGGGCCAGCCGAGGCGGTCGAACACGTCACGGCGCCAGAAGTACTCGTTCATGTCATCGTAGTTCCTCCAGGCGGCGTGCGGCGCCTTGCCGTCGCGGCTGGACTCGGCCTCGGCGCGGATGACGTCGTAGATGGGCGTGACGACGCGCGTGAGGAAGGCGTTCTCGCCGTGCACGGCGGGGTTGGCGGGGCGGCCCGTGGCGGTGTCGATGAAGCCCTCGAGGATGCGGTGCAGCTCGCCGGCCATGTGGTGGTAGATGTAGCAGAGGCACTCGGGCATGAAGCGGAGGTTGGCGGCCTCGCCCCAGACGAGCAGGTGCAGGCCCGTGTAGAGCAGATCGGCGCGCGGGTCGCCGTCGGGGATGTAGACGGAGGGGCGGCGGCCGAGGAAGCCGCACCAGGAGGTGTAGTTGCGGAGCAGCTTCTTCCGGATTTGGCGCGCGATGCGGGGCTCGAGAGTGTCGGAGAAGTCGGCGGAGGAGAGGCGCATCTGCGCGTTGGCGAGGAGGAGCACGAGGTGCTCCCGCTGGTTCCTGACGTTGTCGCGCTGGAAGCCGAAGAAGGCGCCGAGCCAGTCCATGAGGTCCTGGTCGGCGCGCCACTGCGAGAAGGGCGGCGGGCGGAGGCCGCCCACCGCCCGGAGCGCCGCCGCGGCCGCCCGCACCTCGGGGAACCGCAGCGACGGGTGCTCGGCGAGGAGGTCGTGGATGGGCAGGATGTTGTAGGGCTCACCGCCCGCGGCCGCCGGCGGGGCGGACGCGCGCCGCTGGGTGCCGCGCGGCGTGGTCATGCTGGCATTGGGTGGGGTGTGATGGGTTTAGGGCTGAGCTAGATCTGGGGAGCGGGCGGCTAGAGAAGTGGAAGGGGTGGAGGCGTGGAGCTGGATTCTGGAAGGAAGGGAGACGGCCGGACGGGTCGGGGTGGGGGTTTGGGGGATGGTTTGAAAATTGAAACGCGTGGCGACCGGCGTGGGGAAGGGGATGGACGATGGAGTGCCCACTGCCGGGCCCGGGCGGGACAGTGGGCGAAGCGGCGGAGGAATTGAGAAGGGCAGGCGGGCTGGCGCCTAGGGGTGGGCGGCGTGGGGTTGACTCCCTACGCGAGGGCGACGCGAACCAGGGCGAGCTCGCGTGATTAGCCGGGAATCTATGAAGCTAACGGTGAAATGAAACGGCGGATGGTCTAGCTCTTGTTTCGTGTCTCGGTTTTGGAATGGTTTGAGCGTTTATTTTTGGTAATAAAATTAATGACGAAGGATATTGCCATTTCCATACTCAAGTTTGCTCGTTTTACCTTTTTTGCGAACTAGTTTCATGCAAGTAGAAATGTTGAATGAATGAATGATGAGATTGTTTCTGCCAAAAAGGAAAAAAGGCATGAATAACCTTCTTTATCACTACTCTATATAGCTGTATATTGACCTTTGACGCGTATAAATCGGTATATTAAGGAGAAGTCTTGCTCCCGTCATCAAATAAGTTTGTTCAGGGCAGGACCAATGAAGGCTGATACTCGGTAATAGTATCACCTAAAAAAGATGCCACGTTCACGGGGGAGTATTTGAGGTAAATACATTCACAACGCAAGCTGCTCAAGAAAAGTTCTTTGGTTAGATAATGCTTACCTTTTGCAAGTCCTGATCTTACATGGTTCTCAAAAACATTGCAACAACCTCTTAACCAACGCATCTATTATAGTGGCTTCAACTTTTGGATTGACGAGACCACTGTCACTCTGCACGCTACGGAGCTACTGGTCTATTTGACGTAGATGCTTGGCGCAAACGTAGAATCTGGAGCAGTACGCCACGTCCTTGCATTGGGGAAGCCCTCATAATTTCGAGCTCTCGTCATCATATTAGTATGAGACATGAGAGCACCTGTTTCTGGATTCCCATTGTAGGAAAGGACAGCTCTATCGAGTACTTAACATGTTACACTATCGTTGATCCTAGGATGGTATGGTATAATTTAGCATTGCCATGTTTATCAAGAAGGAAATTTTTGGCTCAGGAGAGTAGATCCCCTTCCTGTGCTATAGATGGAACAACGATGCCTTCCCAACTTCCATGCCAAACTTGATGACTTTGTTGTCCGCTCTCGCCGTGCGTCATGGTCACCGTGTAGCGTTTTAAGTTCTTATTAGTCCACCCCTTCGTGTGTAAGGAATCAGATATCACGTCTGCAGATGCAATTAAGAGCACCCCTTGATGCATCCCTTTTTGGTGTATGCCTCGTCAGACCAACTAGGTTTAGAGAATAAAATAGTTGTCTTGTGGATGACAATAATAGTTGCAGGGGCTACATAGCCTCGAAGAGAGAAGACATGGACAACTAAAATTGTGAGGGAAAAATGGAAGCGAGATAGTTGTAAGGATAACTGGCCCCGTTCGGCTTACCTTATATCCGGCTTGTTTGGTTTCTTTTTTCAGCCGGAATAGTATTTTTCTCTCACAACATTTCAGTCAGAATAATGTTTTCCAGCCACTTTCAGCCAAGTTTCAGCAAGCCGAACAGGGCAAATATGCTTGTGTTGGATAGATAGTAGTTTCAACTTTTCTATTTCTATTTGGACATATATTAATTTCGAATGAAACCATTAGTCACGCCCTAAAGCAAATTGGTCTGATCTCATAGTTCTTCTCAAGTCATCGTTTTTTCTATTAGTTAAAATCAAGCCTTGCATTGATGATGAGTTTAAGTTTTGCATTTCAACCAAAAGCATAGGAATTTGTTGGTACTGAACATCGAACTAAAAAAAAATGTTACAGTAATAAATAATAACTAGTCTATTCACATAAATGGACTAGTTATTCTTTATTTCTGTAACTAGTCAGATGTCTCAATATAGATCTTGTAAACAAGCATGACAACAGATTCATACATCCCCACTGCTTTTCTCACAAGATTGACCTTACCAATTGCTATCCACCAATCCATGATACAAAAAGAAAACATCTCCGGCGATACGCCATAAATCAAGGCCCTATTTGCCTAAGTAGACCCCGCCCCCCTATTTTCTCAACTATCCAACCATAAGTATTTATAAATGCATAGATTTCAACCAAAATCAATTTGTTAAATTTAAACACCTTAATTCGAATCAGGAAAGCGAATTTAAATACAAAATGACCACCATGTCGTAGGAAGAAAACAAAGTACATAATACATGCAATCAACACAAGTTGTATAGGTATGGATGGATTTGCACCATTTATGTTATTCCCACAAATGCTCGACCAAAATCCTCTTGAAGTTTCTCATGTGTTTGCTTGTCTTCGATCTACTCATGGTCAAGGGCGGAGGGAGGGCACATGAGTAGATCGACAAAAGAAACTGCAGACAGTAGTGACCGTGGTGGATGCATGGTCGATCTACTCATGTCATGTGTTTGCAATAGTTGCGCCGGTGCCGCTACAAAACGGCCGATCATCACGCCGCAGGCGCGGGGCGGTGTCCCGCGAGGCCGGTGGTCGCGGCACTGGTTTCTTTATTTAACTTCAGCGTAGGCAGCGACGGACGACACGTCTGCCCGGAAGGTTCAAACAAACGTTCGTCCTCGCCCAGTCGCCCTTGTTGCTGTCTGCCGAAGTCCCCGGTTCGCAGAATTCAGAGGCGCGAAGCATCTCTGGTCAGTCCAGACGTCCTCTAGTGAGGCATCGACTGTTTATTTGTTCAGATCCCGATCATACGGGCACGGCACCGGGCTGGATCGGGGGTCCGCGCTGCCATGTGAGCCGGCGGTGGGGCCCGACCACGCCTCGGTTTGTTGAGCTGCAACTGCAGGCGCGCCTCTTTGTCGCCTGCGTGAGTAGCCGGGAAAACGACGGCAACCCGTCAGACGCGGCACGGTTGCTTCTTGCTTGTGAGCCCGTGCGGCCACGCAAACCGCGTGGAAAGCTGTTACGCTCAATCCCGTGAACGAGAAGAATCGTCTCGCCTCGCCTCGCCTCGCCTCGCCTCACGCGTGTGGTGATCCATCGTTTTACTGACCGACCATGTAACTGCTACTCTTGGGCGCTTGGCGATAAAGCTCCTCCGGTGACCAATCATCGCTAGAAATAATCCAGCAGTCCTTGCAAAACGACAGTTCACTGGACCAGAGTTTCCTTCTTCGCCACCCCGGATCCGGAAGGTAGCTGAACAACCTCATCTGCTCATCTAACGTTTGCCCAAACTGGTGCTGATGCAGTGATGCATGCAACCATGATCGGCCCAGGTTGTCATTTCAGGACGGTGGTGTGACGGTGCTATTCAGCCTGTTCGTTTTCGAACTTATTCGCTTCAGATCCCGCTTTATAATCCACGGGTTTAAAAAGATTTTTTTTTCACACTAAAAAAAAAAAAGCAAGATTTTCAACCACGACTTTATAAAGTTTAATTCAAATTAAAACGAATACATGCTGATTGTTAACGAAACAACAGAAAGTACAGGCACTTTTATCACTATACTAGGCTCTCTTTTTTTAGAAAAAAGGCGCATGTGGATTAACAAAGACACCCATGTGATCGACCTGGATCTGATTCCAAACAAAAATATGTACAAATAACCTGACATTTTTTGCAAGACGAGAGAGCTACGGCCTACGAGTAGAGCAGCTAGCTAGGCACATCACATCAGTTTATCCCTTTCAGACCTTTTTTTTCCTTGAAGAATCGTTCCTTTCCGATTCTATACATCAGAGATCAGACAGGTCGCAAGATTACAGATGTACTACGTGTCTACTATGATAGATTAACGCGTTGGATGAGGATGATAAACTTGTTGATGGCTCCATGACCGTATGAGATCTTTGTTTGCATAAGTAATTCCAACCCGTCGCACTCTGAGAAAAGCGGCTTCGATGCGACGAATTCTCAACAAGCAGGTGGGCCGAGGCCCCAAGATTCGAGAGGAAATATTGTGTAAACTTCGGAGCTGAGATTTGGCGACGTTGACGCGCTTAGTTAATCGATGGATCGAACGCGGTTACTACACGGATGATAACGTGGCGCTGCTCATAGCTGTTATCTTACTCCATCCATGGGACTATGGCTACGTGTGGGCATGGCACGGAATTCCCGTTCAATTGACCGCTTAGGCCACCCACCATGGTTACAGATAGTTAGGGCAGGTTCAATGCAGGTTAACACTGCTACAGTGCTAGTGGTTTCAGTACAATTAAAATGATCTAAGTAAACTAGAAGATATTAAGGCCACTATTTGTACAATACAAACCACCATGTCTTTTCTACTTATGCTCTCCACCTTGCTTTTTTCTTTCACCACGCGTCACTTTTATCTCTCTCCCCCTCTAATTATCTTGCATGGACCACCTTCTCTCAGATTCTGCAGACAACTATGACATATATAGAGCACCTATTTTTTTTTTTGTACAACATGACATCCAAACCTAGTGAACCTTAAAGCCACTGCTGAGGCTACTGGCGTTGGGAAAGGCCTTACTAGCTCTAAGCTAACTTTTAATATATAGGTTTTAAAATAGATAGCCCAACATAACACTCTCACGTAACCTTGAAATGTGTGTAAGAGTTTAGCTCTTGATAAGAGCTAACTTTTCTCCTTTTCTATTAAAATATGAGAAAAATGTTAGAGCTAGTTTAAAAGCCGATGGTTGGAGCTGCCTTTGTACTACCATCAATCAGTTATAAAAATCGAACGGCATGTTCGCTGGTTGGTTTCTAAGTTGATAAACCCGACTGATGCTGGTTTGTTGTAAGAAAAAAACACTGTTGACTAGCTAATAAGCTCTGGCTGAAATCAACGAGCAACATGCTGCAAATCTATTCAGTTTACGAGGTCCGAGCATCACCCATGTTAGGCTTGGCCGCTTGGGCGTAAGATATTTGAGCTGGACATTGAAAACCAGATCAAAGCCCGATGAAATGCTCCGTGCAGATACGCGGATTCTAGTCGATCCAGGATCGGAACCACATGGCACAAGTTAACCTAGGAGAAATACTGCAGTACAAGTTAACCTAGTAGGAGTATAATAAAGCCACTGTATTCTGGATTTCTGGGAGAACCGGTCCGGAGAAGCAATTGCGGAAAACGGCAGTGCGCAGGTCTTTGCCCTGTTCACATGGCAGCCTGTAGAGCGATTCGATTCGCCTGCAAGCATTGGCAAGTGGCAACGCAGCGCAAAACCGGCACGGCAGGCACTTTTGCCGCTTTGCGCATGCTGCTGCCGGTTCTTGCCCGCGGGTTGCTTAGCGCGGGGAACGCGGGAACGCCGGATCAGGACTCAATCAACACACGGCGCCAACGGGGCAAACGATCCCGTCCGTCATGAGCGCACAACAAAGGCGAGAGCATATTCATCAGTGTCCAATCAGATGGGGCCGCCCCGCCTATTGCCCTATAAGGCACCCTCGCCGTGAAGGAAAACTGAAAAAGAAGCGAGCAAGTGGGATTCTGCTTTGGGGTCTCCGGCCATCTGCATTGCCCTTGCTCCGCACTCGCCGCCGCCGTCGATTTTGACGCTCCGGCCCTCAGTGCCCCTTGGCCTGCGAGAGAAAACCAAGAGAAATTGACCCTTGACCGTGCAACTTCGTTCTCTCGCCGGCGAATTGACCGTGCCACGTTGTTGATAGCGCGTCGCTCTCGGCTAGCTCTCGCTGGCTCGCCGATCGCCAAGTGGAGACTGTTTTGTGAGCACTGGGTTAAACAGCATTACCGATTTAACGTGGACAGATCATGAAGCGACCAAGTGGGTGTTTGTGCTGTACGCAGTGCGCCCACGCACTGATGGCTGATCCATTCCACGGGATGCCATCTCAGATGTGTCGGGCCTTGGAGTTGGAGGGCGGTTGGGCCTCTCCGTGGAGCTATTACACTCCCGGTCCCTCTTCATGATTTATTCATGGATCATGGTCCATTGCATCTATGATGACTTGATGAGGTCAATCGGTCTAGTCTAGGGATATATAGGGTGAAATACAAGATGGTTCTATTACCTCTTTTGAACTCAAAATCAAAATGACGAATTTCATGACTACTCAAATTAATTTATTTCCTATATAGTGTTTTGTATAATGCTGCTTTCGGAGAAAACGTGAATCCCTCTCACAAAGAGGTGGAATGGAATTTAGATCTGAGAAGGAGACTGGGTATTGATGAGGTGGCAGAGTGGAATGAACTGCAGGAGGAATTAGAGTTAATAGTCTTTTCAGAAGAGGATGACACTGTAATTTGGGCTCTGGAACGTTCAGGCAAATTCTCCACCAAATCTCTGTACAGATTTATGAAACACAGTGGCAATGTTGATCTGAGAATGACAGAGCTGTGGAAAGTAAATTTACCCCTCAAGATCAAGATCTTTCTTTGCTTATCTTTCTTAAACTTTGTTGTTGCAGATGCTAAACTGTAAGCTGGTATCCCCTATGTGCTTTCAATATAAGCAGGCCAATGCCTTTGGTCTAAAAAAGGAAAAAAAAAACAGGAGAAGCAAATAAAAAGGAAAAAAAGAAGAAGTCCGCTCTCGGTACGTTTCGTGGGCCGCGGATGGCAGAGCTACGACTTCACTCCTTCTATAGGCCTGGCCACGGCCGAAACCCCCGTCAGCAAACTTGCGCGGCCCGCCTGCTCCACTCCAGGCTCCAGCCAGCGCGCGCCTCAGAAGCCCAATCCATGGCTCTGCAGGAAGCGACGAACGCGTGGGCGTGGCCTTGGCCGCCACCGCCACCGCGAAAGCGAAGGAGGAGGGGGAGCAAGGGCAAACGAGCTGTTCTCTACTACCCCGCGCCGCCGAGGCAAGCAGCCGCCACAGCAGCAGCAGCCCCAGCCGCCGCCACGGAGATGGAGGCCGAGGCGTCCGTCCCCGCCACGAACTACGTCTACGACACTCTCCCGGGCCTGCACTTCGCCTTCTCGCCGGAGGAGGAGGCCCTCGATGACGCCGCCGCCGCCGCGGGGCAGGACGAGGATGATGCGACCGCGACCTACGCCGTCTTCCGCAACGAGATAACGGCGGCTGGGGATGCGCTCGCGGACATCCCTGCGGCGAACTTCTTCTCGCTCGACGTCTCCGCCCCTGCCTCCGTCGAGGCCGAGCCCGAGCCGGCATCGCCGCGGGCCCCGGCGCCCGCCGCTGCGGCGGCGACGCCCTCTAGCTCCCGTGCTTTGGAGGACCAGCCGGCGCAGGGGTCGGAGCGCGCGTGGTTCAGAGTAGGGAGGCGGTTTAGGAGCCCCATGCTTCAACTACACAAGGGTGAGGGTTTTAGTTTGGTGCTTTTGCGCAGTGGATTTTTGGTAGCTTAAGTTCGGGAATTGTTTTGAATTTTGTGGCTTCCAGTGCCTAAATTATAGCGCAACTAAATGGACTTTGCTCTGCTGTGGCATTAAATTACTGATGCAGTGAAGTGATCAGATGTAACAGATTAAAGATCACATTTTCTTCAGTAAATATATCAGAATAGCTAAACTATAGGTTGCCATACAGAGCTTCAGTAACCTGTAATGTCTACTTGAAATCTGCATGAGGCTTTTGGTGCTTTGGATTAAAAAGCATTGCAATGGCATTCTTCTTGACGGTTAAAAATCAAACAGATATAAATGATGAACAAAACTACTCTAACTACAGTTCAAAATTATAGTTCACTTTAGGTTTGTCCTAAATCAGACTTCTCTAACTTTGACTAAGTTTATAGAAAAATACAGCTAGAGTGCCAAAATAGTAGATTCAATTCTCCATGACATATGTCTTGATAGTGCATTTATTTGAACTTGTAGATATGTTTTTTCTAAAAACTTGGTCAAAGTTAGAGAAGTTTGACTTAGGACAAAGCTAAAGTGAAGTATAGTTTGGAATGGAGGGAGTACCTTGTAGTGTGGCCTTCATGTATTTGGATGCAGAAACTGTGTAGAGAGTGCTATGATGCCAAACACTTTTTTTTGGTTCCGATAGAGCTGATTGTTACTTGGAATTTGTTAGACAATAGTCTCAAGGACCAGTTTGATATTATACTTAAGAAATAGTAAAGCTACTTATGCAGTTGATCCAGACATTCAAATCACATTTATCTTTAGCACTTGAACTAGTAGAACTTGAGATCAATAAAAACTCACAGATGTATGTATGGTTTTGTGATGGATAATTTGACTGTTGGAGTACTAATATTGTATCTTTGTTGCAGAGATTCTTGACTTCTGTGATTTTATCTCACCTTCTACTGAAGAGCAATCTTCACGAACAGCTGCTGTGCAAGATGTCTCTGATGTTGTCAAACATATATGGCCACAGTGCAAGGCATCACACCCTCTTTCCCCCTGTAGTTTGTGTCAAATAGCTGTGAACCATTTTGGTGATTCCCACTCTTGCATGGCAGGTGGAAGTTTTTGGATCTTTCAGGACAGGTCTCTATCTACCAACAAGTGATATAGATGTAAGCATTCTTCTTTCCTCCTCTTTCTATATTTCTAGCTTGGTGCTTCACTTTATCTGTTCCATTGTGTTGTATTAATTGCTGGATCATAGTGCTTACTTTGTTAGACAGTATTAGTCTCTATCTTTACTATGAAGGAGAAAGAAGAGCTGAAGATTTGTTTTTTCTCTTCTAATTTTGTTTAACGACACATTAGTTGAGGTCCTTATAGCCATAACTATTCAATATCAAATTTGAAGCAATAGAAAGTTCTATTACCATAAGTAACAATATGATTGAGATAATGGAATAAATAGTAGGAGAGTATATAGTAACAGAAAAAGGTAAAGGTGGACTTCCATCCTATGTTTCTGCTGTTGCAATTGCAGAAAAAACAACAAAACTGCCATATAGGGAGGGTGAAAAGTGGTATATGTGTCAGTTCACGCTAGCAATATCGTCATGCGTAGGTCAGAAGGACATGCTATGTTTGTATGGACCTATCTTCACCTTGTATTTTTTTCTCGAACGACACAGGAGAGCTGCGTGTCATTTCATTATTAAGAAGAGAAAGAATACTAAGGAAAAACAAGAGTCTGCTCCTAGTACATGGGAGAGAAATTCCTTGTATTTGCACTAACTAATTCGATATCGACAGACATACTTTGTTTGTTCTTTGTAACACTCCCTCTGTGTCACTATGTTTGTCCATAACCTTGAGAGAATGTCTCACAATGTTTGTCCAATTGTCCATCGAGAAAGTGTAGTTATTACAATTTTTCCATTCTCTACCCTCAACCAAGTGCTTTGGAAAAAGAGAAATGGTTGCGTCATGTTATTTAACAGGGGCATGGACAGTCATTTCACATTGAATTTTCTTGAAACACATACTGGGTTAGTGCGCCGGTGTGCTATGGACAAACATAGTGGCATGGATGGAGTAACTGATAAAGAAAGTTTCTAGGGTACATCACCTAAGCTTGTTGTAAACTAGCACTTCCCATGTTTCACCTGGACACACAGGGTCATGCACCTTCTTTTTATGAAATGCCTATCTCCTTTATCTGCTTAAGTTAATATTAGGCTTGTTGCAGGTTGTAATATTTGAGTCCAGAGTTAAGACTCCTCAAGTTGGTCTATATGCTCTCGCAAAAGCATTGTCTCAGAAAGGTGTTGCTAAAAAAATACAGGTCCAGTTCTCACTTTTTTTTTAAAAAAAAAAGTATTGTGCAAGAATCTCTGTGAGTTTCTTTTCTGGTTCATAAACTACTCATAACATGAGTTTCTACAGGAAAACACTGTTTTTTCCCATCAAAGAAACAACACAAGCTGTTACCCAATTGAATTAACCACGAGGGATGATAACTGGTTGGTTTGGTAGGGAACATGGCGGAGGGCTGTCATACCTTAATTTTGCCATGATATCCCTTGCCCTTTGTTGCGAATTGCTGGTCCTGGCTCCATGGCTGCCGACCTGCCGATTGCCGTCCTCCAATATGAGCAGAGAAACACACGGGAAATAAAATAACGATGGTGAGGCATAGAAAAATGAGGAGGGTGAAAAGTGTGGAGCCTGTGGTGTCATTGAGCTGCTTGACGAACATGTCGCACGAGCAGCACAGGAAGGATCAGGTGACCAGCACAGGCACTTGAGAAGTGTGAAGGAAACAAACAAGCTAGAGATAGAGGAAAGTTTTGTAAGTTGCCGCAGCAAGTAGCTCGCTGCTGCTGGGGGCATTGAACCTTTTGCCACTATTAGTGTGGCCCACCCAATCCCTCTCACATTCAGTCCAGTTTCGTGGGTCTTGACACTTAAGTGCTGTTCTCTCTCTCTCTCTCTCTCTCTCTCTGCCAGTGACCAAGCATTTTGCCCATCTGCCTACCATCCCCACTCCTGAAGGCTGAATTGCTAGCCCTAGATGACGCGCCAAACTGCCAATTCCACAACATGAACCAACCCCGTGATACCTCAAATCTAATCTGTCTTCCGCCACCGGCAGTGACCAAATGCCATCGTCTGGAACATTGGACATTGCCACTTTGTCAACTATTAGTTACCGAGTTGCTTATTTAGTCAATGGACTACTGTTTTTCTTTTGCGGCAGGTAATAGCAAAGGCACGTGTGCCAATTGTGAAGTTTGTGGAAAGAAAGAGTGGCATAGCTTTTGACATCAGGTGCAGTTTTGTTTTCATTGCTCAGACCAATACTCGACTTCTTTTTCTGTTGTCCCAGTTCTCTGTTAAGAATCTTTTCTGTTCCAGCTTTGATATAGATGGTGGGCCGCAGGCAGCAGACTTCATCAAGGTACTTGTTGAACTGGGCAACTAACTATTCTAGTAACGGAGGCAGCATGTACTCTGTTTGAAGCTAATCTGTGGCAGATGTTCAACATGTACTTTGGCTCACCTGATTGTTTTGGACTACCACAATGATCCTTTTCCATTTTGTACTGTATAGGATGCTGTGAAGAAGTTGCCTGCTTTAAGACCTTTATGTATGATTCTGAAAGTTTTTCTGCATCAGAGAGAGCTCAACGAGGTACAATTGAACAAAAGTCAGTGACTTGTTGCTCCTTTAATTAAAAGGTGGTTATCTTGAATTGTTGTGTCGATCCAGATTTCTAACAACCATTACACTTTCTGGGTAGGTCTATACCGGTGGAATTGGATCATATGCTCTTCTTACAATGTTGATCACACATCTACAGGTGAAATGGGATTTCACTTTTTGATCTGGAAAGCCTTTTCCTTATGATCTTTCAAATAGGATTTTGAGTTGATATTTGAAACTTGTATAAACCTATAATCCTTTAATAAATGGTTGAAAGCAAAGATGGTGTTTTGTTAGCTGTTTAAGTTCTCCTAAAAAATGTTGAAGTTCAATTAATAGAACTGAATTATTTAGCTCTAAACACTTGTAACACTACTATTTCAGCTGCATTGCACTTCACTCGTAGTGTTATTTTTTGCTTGTCTGAAGTTTCATATTATTTGTGGGCCTGAAAATTCATTCTTTCTTATAAATCATTTACCACTGTGGTTTTTGTTCTTAGTTGGTCTGGGGAGGAAAAGATATTCTCGGGTATCATCAGTCAAAGGAGCACAATTTGGGAATTCTTTTGGTAAGTGATACTTTTGTTATTATTGTTCCAGTCTCAGAATATCTTCATATTGGCTCACAGCAAACTGTGAGCTTTATTTTCCTACCTTGAAATTCTTGTTTCATTCTCCCTTGAGATTTCTCTTTGTGACGGTGAAGAAAAGTCAAAGGACACCCCTTTATATTTTCCTGCTCTTTTATGGCAGGTCAGGTTCTTTGATTTTTATGGACGCAAGTTAAACCATTGGGACGTCGGAATATCTTGCAATTCTTCAAGGACCTTTTTCTTGAAGAGTGATAAAGAGTAAGCTGATGATTTACTAGATGAACTTATTCCAGACAACTCACTGATTATTGACTTGCAAATTTTGTTGAGCTGGCAACATATCTTGCTTTCATTTAGTTTGGTCATTGTTCAAAAAAATATTCTGTTGCTGTTTGTAGACTAGCAATAGACACTGATATGTGAATTTCTTTAATTCCTTTAATAATTGGAAAACTTGTCAGGTGCTAGGGCGAAATTGTTTAGTTTCTCCACGTTCTAACCTTTTTATACTAGTTTATTTCTACGCTTCTCTTATTCTTCTTTTATTTTGGTTTTATAGCTTTATGAATCATGATCGACCACATCTATTAGCGATTCAGGATCCCATGGTAAGGATCCCATGGTAAAATACCTGTCCATTCTTTTTCACCTAACTTGAGGATCTTGAGTTACAATGGATTAACTCATTCAACTCATGATGTCCAGGCACCAGATAATGATATCGGAAAGAATTCCTTCAACTACTTTAAGGTAATTACTCTATTGATTTTTTACTCATGCTTCTGCATTGCATGTTGCCGATGCTGTGGATGTGATACTGGAACTGTTTGATGCTTTAACTCATTTTGCCTTTTGCTATGATACTATTACTCTGGAATTTTTCGACTTGAGAAAACCCTGAATAAATTCCCTTTTTTTTTCAGGTGAAATCAGCATTTTCCAAGGCATACTCTGTGTTAACTGATGCAAACTCGCTTATAAGTTTGGGACATAATAGGAGCATTCTGGGTACCATTGTCAGACCAGATTCAGTTCTCCTTGACCGGAAAGGCTGGCACAATGATATGTTAGCGGAACCCTGGGAACCGATCACCCAACAGTTTGACAGCGAGAATGATGCAGTGTATAATTGGCATGTGATAAATGAGGATGAACCATTGCCCAGAAATAGTCAATCCACATCCGAGGACACTAGTTCATCACCATCTAAAAAACGGAAGTCCTCAAAATCAAAACAGAAATCGCGAAAGAAGTCGAAGGGTGGTGCCTCAGGCAGTAGTGATGTTGCAAGAGAGGATAAATCATCCAAGCGGGAAGCAGGAAGCAGCAAACGGAGGAAAGGACCAAAGGAGTATGACAGATTCACGAATACACTCCCAAAGTACACGCATGTTAGTAAGTGGTAACTAACAGCGTTTATAGTATGGTCGCAAAGGTCCAGCTCAATTTGACTCGATTTGACATTGAGAAGTATCATGTCACATTATGGCATGCGATGTGAATGACGAAAGTTGTCAGCAGCTCCAGAAGCCCCATCGTATGATTTGCTTGTTTGTCTGTTTAATTGCTATACTTTATGTAACAGAGATAAAACTTGATTAAATGAAGATTCAGTTATTTTATTTATGCTGCAGAAATTTCTTTTTTGAACCTTATGCTGCAGCAATTTTGGCGACTAGCTTGTATTCTTTTTGTAATGGTATCAGTTGGTGACGATGAGGTTCTGTTCAGCAATCTGCGAGAGGAATAGTATGTTCGACATATTTGATTGATGGGATGATGGTCTTAATTACTGAATAGTATGTTCAAAACATATTATTTTTCACTCAAGAATGTACATCAATACTTTTAAACTGCATTTAGAAGGACAACGTGTAACGAAAAATTTAGTTGCAACGACCCCAAGCTTCAGAGGCATTCTCAATTTCTAATGTAATTGAGAACTATTGCTATTTCATAAATAATTATAACCAGTTTTCAGCATTACTATTTCCGAGCTACTGTAGCACTTGCGTTCTGCAAATATGCAGCGACCATTGTTCTGTGTTTGGTAGAGCAAGCTAAGAAAAGTAGATGAGATGAAATGCATCAAAATTTTCAAAGTATAGCTATGTCTTCATGCCATACACAAAACCAACTAGATCGAGCGTGACAGATTCTGTGAGAAAGCAGCAGCGGCTAAAAACTAATGTTACCTAGCAAACATCTGACAAGCTGATGTAAACCCGTCATATATTCATATAAGAAAGGCATATAAGTTCGGTTACAAGGAGATATGTCCATTAAAAGTGAGGACATATGCCAACAGTGATCACTCAGCTAACCTACTTTTCTTATTTCAGATTGACCTTCAGCTGAAAAAGGTAGAAGGATCTGTTCTAATCTGCTGGCTGATGGAAAAAAAGGAGCCAGATAAAATAGACCTGATGAGCTTCCAACTGCAATAAGTATAGTAGTATAAGTTGTGGAAGCTGTGAAATGTCTGATCGCGCATTGTCCACTATGCTGACCACTCACGAGGGGATGTTACATTGCTGCCAGCATTAAGCTTATCAACCATTACAGGTTGGGCTGCAGCCACCACTGGGAGTATCTCAACCATATTTCCAAATGGATGACTGTGCACGACCTGTGGTCCCAAGGGATGATACGCCATAGAAGCAGTAGCTGGAGGCTGAGGCAGAAGAGCTACAACAGTTGCAGGGCAGTTAGAAGGGTTCTTGTATGTGGAGCTGTAGGTCTGGCCATTTCCTTGAACAGCATAGGATGCAACGCTGCAGTGACTGGGCTTGCTTGGTTGAGGTGGACAGGGGCCCTGGCTGTGTAACTGCACTGATTGTGGTTGCTGATGCTGAACATTATGATCTGCTACGGGTAGCAATATTGTATTGCCTTGGCCATAAAATGAATGGGCAACTTCATGCTGCTGCTGCTGCGATGAAGAGTATGGAGGCTGCCCAGCCACACTTCTTGTAATTGGCTCAGTGTTAGAACTGGCAGGCTTTGGGGAACTGAATGGAGGAAACAAGGGTGTGGCTTGAGCACTCTGAGACTGAGGAGATGAGGACTGTTGTTGAGCCATGTGTCGTGAAACTTGTTGAATAATGTATTGCTGCTGTTGCACCATGGGCTGTTGGGGATGCCATGTATGCGAATCAACTTGCTGGGTAGGCATCTGTAGTCTGTGATTCTGAGGCTGAGGGTACAATTCAGTTGCTTGACTAGATTTCTGAGGTAGCTCAACTTGAACCATGGCTTCAGGGTTGTGGACAAGTGGCTGCACAACTTGAACCAAAGGCTCCAACGCCTTGCTCTCGGTGGATTTAGCATGATCTGGGCTTTGCACATAGTACACAGGAGGAGCCTGGCTCAACTGCTGCTGATCGTGCTGCGTGCTCAAAGTGACAGGCACCAGGTGCTGCAGAACAAACCCGTTGCTGGTTTGGACCTGCACGGCAGCAGGGGACTGCATCCCATTAACTTGGTGAAGCGGCAAAAGGGCGACCTCGTGTTTTGGAGCCTGTGTGCTGTGGTCATTTTCCCTTGGCGCGAGCACGGAAAAACCGGCGGTGGCCTCACCCTTCTGAGAGGGTGCCTCATGTGCTATTTGAAGCTTGCTGAGTTCTTTTGGAGTTTCAGCTAAGTCCTGCCTATCCTGAAGAACCTGCAAGGATTTGTGGACCTGGCAACCAAAATGTAGATCTAGTTATCAAAGATGCTAGCTGTTAGTCTCAGAACCAAGTGATACAGATCTCATCTCCGGGAATCGTAAGTTGACTCCACTGAATGTACTAGCTTTCAGGGAAATAAACAATCAGTTAAGTCTATGAAGCACTGTACACCAAACATAAGTGAGAAATCCAAATCGCACTGTCATTGTGTGCCATTACTCGGCGGCATTACTACTCGAGAAGCACCAACTGGTGCACCGGGAGGGATTCAATCCAAGATGCACAGTCCACGGAGAAGGCAGGCACGCAGGCGCTTACCTGTCTGAGGTTCTTGTCGAAGCATCTGAAATTGGCGGTGCTCTCGCCGTGGTAGTCCATGACGTCGCTGCGCAGCTCCCCGATGGACCTCTCGAGCTTGTAGCAGTAGAGCTCGAGCTGCGAGAGCCTGCCCCCGATGCCGTCGAGCGAGTGCAGCAGCGCGTCGGCCTGCTTCCGCATGCACTCCTCCACGGCCGCCATCACGGCGTCCTTGGGGTAGAAGCCACCGTCCTGCTGCGGCGGCTGCGGCTGCCCGTAGGCGGCGGCCACGAACGTCCGCACCAGCCTCTCGTCCTGCAAGCCGTGCCCGGCGGCGCGGCGCGGCAGAGTCGGTCCGTCAGGCAGGCGCCGATGGAGGGAAGGAGAAGGGAAGAAAATTCGAAATCAAGAGATGGCGACAAGAGCAGAGCAGAGCAGAGTGCGGGCACCTCGCGTAGGCGGGGCTGGTCGTAGGAGCAGCGCGCGTCCGGGGGCAGGCCGAAGGCGCCGGAGACGGAGACGGAGGCGGCGGCGGGGCGCGCGGGGGAGGCCATGCGTGGGCGGTGTGGCTAGGGTTTTTGGGTTGGTGCTGTGATGGGAGCGAGCGGGAGCCTGAGCTGGGGTTGGGAATCCGAAGCGGGAGGAGGAAGGGGCGGGGAAAGAGAGAGAGGAAATGAGGAAGGAGTACTCCTATGCACTTGCTGCTGTTGCAGGCAGGAAAAATCTCAAAAAGCAGAGCGCCCAATGTAAAACAGCCAAGTAAAACAGAGTCCGTGACACACTGTAATAAGTCCGTCTAGGAGACGCTGAGACCTGAGAGAGAAAAAAAGGGTGAATACTGAGGAGGCAAGCAAAGCGGAGCTCGCCGAGAGCGGGTGGTGGGGCTGCACCCTGTGGAGTTCGAGGCGCGGGGAGGGAATAAAAATGGCTGGGGAAGCGGAGAACAAGCGTGGTGGACCTCGGAGAGCGAGACGGATATGCTGGCTGCCAAGCTCTTTGCTTCAGCTCTCGGCGGAGTCCGTCCACATGTGGGCTGGAGATCCGGCGAAATCTGGTGGGTGGTGGCGGTGGTATGGGGATGGGGGTGAACCGACCGAAGGATACCGTGCGGGGCGGCCGTGCCCGTGCTCTGCCCGCTCCTGCTGCTGTGGTGTGAATTGGGGATGCCTGGGCGAGATGTGATCGGTTTCCGATGACGTTATGTGCCATGTGCAAGATTTAGGGCGTCCCCAACAGAAGATCAAATCGCTAGCACATGGCATTTTCTATTCCACGTGGATGAGAGAGAATGCACAAAGTGGACTCGCTAGCCATAGTTGGCCATGCAGCCCGAGCCCGTCGGCCCAGCCCAAGGCCTATTTTTTTGGCCCGGCCCGACCCGGCGGCTAGCGGGCCCGGGCTGGCACGGCCCGGAGGAGCAGGCCATGCCTGGGCCTTACCCCAGCCACGTGGGCTGGCACGGCACGGCCTGCTACAGAACCGGAGGCCCGCTGACGGCCCGGCCAGCCGGCCTGCTAAGAGCCCCAGCCGGCCCGGCCAGCCCCTACCTCTCTCCCTACCCTACCTCTCAGATGCGGCGCCCTCTCTCCCTCACGCGCCGTCGATCTCTCCCTCCTCCACTCTCTCTCCCTCCGGCCCTCCCTCCACTCTCTCCCAGCGCAACAACGGCGCCCCTCTCCCTCCCTCTCGCGTGGCCCCTACAGCGGCGCTCCGCGGTGGAGCTCACGTGGCCCCCTGCGGCGGAGCTCGCGTGGCCCCTGCAGCGGCGCTCTCGTGAGGAGGCGGCAGGATCCGGCGCTCCCCTGCAGCGGTGATGCTCCCCTGCAAGCGGCCGGCGAGATCCGGCCTAAGGAGGTGGCGGCACGGAGCAGGGCGGCTCTCCTCCGGCGCGGACGTCTCCGGGGCAGGGGCGGCGCAGATCCAGCGCGGGACGGCGCGGATCTCCTCCTCCGTGGCGGATCCACTCCCCGCGTCCTCCCTCCCTTCTCCGGCGGATCCAGTGAACAGCGGCGGCGGATCCGGCACCGGTGCAACGGATCCGGCGAGTGGCGAGCGCGCTGGCCTCCTCCGGATCCGGCGTCGATCTCCTCGGCGGCGAGCGGCGTCGACCCCCTACACCTCTCTAGCGGCGTCGCCCTCCCCCCCCCATCTCTCTGTCGGCGGCCAGTGGGCCTCGGGCTGGCACGACCTCTGAAACTGGCCATGCTTCTCGGGCCGGCCCGGCACGAAAATCGGCCCATAGTGTCGTGCCTGGGCCGAAGGCCAGGCCCGTGGCCTTGTGAGGCATGGCCCAGGAGGCACGTCGTGTCGTGCCGGCCCGACCCCCATCGGGTCGTGCTTTCACGGGCCCGTGTCGAGCCGGGCCGGCCCAGCCCGTTGGCCATCTATATCGCTAGCCACTCGGTAAGCAGTAGTCTCGCACGGAAACTGAAAAGCTC